ACTATCAGTTAAGGGGGGGTGATGTAACGGGGCAGCCCGTTACATAATATTGTCACTTAAGGAAAGTGACAATAAAGAATATAAAGATGGATATTCTTTAAACAATATCACCGAAGCGGTGATATTGAAGGGTCGATCAGAAGGGTCTGTTCATTGGTTGATATCGTGATGATATCAACCCACCAATCGCCGCAAGACGCGCGCAATGAGTGGTGACGAGACGTCACCATACATGCAGTTATATTAGTATAATTGAATTAAGTCAAACGAAGAGACAGTAGTTTAAAGACTTAATTTATTAATATAACAGTTCTACTTTTACCCTACCTACGCTTCCTCGCTCGCCACGTGTACGTCCGTCGGGGCACCGAAAACCCTTGCGTTAAGTTACGCAAGGGTGTGCCCCGTTACACTGAGACCCACCGACGCCAAATGACCCTGTCTCTCTTCGTTTACGCTCTGATCTGTTCGTATACGCCTCTGAACAGGATCTTCGCTGTTGTGTGCACCGAGCGAGCTGGGTTGGCCAACCGGGGGAGCTTCATCCGTTGCTGCAACTACGGCCGCAGCAAGCAGCAGAAAAGCGGAATGAAGACGCATGGCTGGTGACCAAGCAAATTGCGCAATGACCTTTGGACATGAGAGCAAAGAGCCCATGACGTGCTATCGTTCTGCTGACGACAGCGGTTACTGCGCCACGGATCAGAAGAAAGTAGACGTACATAAACGGCTGTACCACGTGACGCCAGAATCCCCGCCTTGAATTGTTGAAGAGCTGCAGAGATGAGCGTCACGTGGTTTGCTTGGTGCACGGCCCTTGGTCAGCGTACTTACTAACTCTCACCTCCTCATGTGCTCAGAAAGTAAGCCAGGAGTGGACAGACAGGTCGCCCGACAGATTGTGGTTGTGCTGTTCAAAATGGTGTGACACAACTATCTCATGTCAGCCCCGAGACTCTGTTGTCAATTCCTTGATGAGATCAGATCCACGGCGTACCCATTACTCAGTACGGTAAGGATATCGACGGGAAGCATCGTTTCGCCGCGAGCCAAGATGCTAACAATAATTCATCAGCAGGGAACATGACACCCAGCAACAGCGTCGTATGGGGTCTACGCGCGGAAAGAAGCTCGATGACAATCAGATGCGACTAAAACGTGACAGCGAATCTTGACAGCCTCCATTCGCCTTCCCGTGCGACTAGATATATGGCGCTCACCAGCACGACTTCATGCGATTTCCAGTGCTGCAGCAACCCAGTGTCGTTGCTCGTCTCTCTCTCTCTGTACTTTCGTCGGTCTATCGAATCAATGATCTCGATGCGTCGCCCGAGAAACGTCGTTGTTCTGCTGACTCTTTTGGTCGTTGTCCGGTCGGCCTGAATCAATTCGCTGATAGCCTGAGCGAAGCAGATGGAGTCTGAGATCGATCAGCAGACTAGTCTGCAAGCGGGACAACTCGGGTCTAGCTCGATTAGTTTCGCAGTTTCTACAACCGATACAGGTGACGTTAGACTCTTATCACTTGTGTGTCATCACCACGGTCGTCTCGCAGTAAAGTTTACGTGAAGTTGCGACGTCTACAATTCCTCACTTGCGCTTCTTTTTCTAGCGCTCATGTGTTGCTCACAACCGATTATCTTCTCGGTAACGCTAACGCTAGACGACGCCTACATTGATGTACTCTGTGGCTTGGGCACTTTGTAGTGCAACGGTAGACTTCCCATTTTGCCACCACAGCCAAGTTAAAAAAGATAGCGCCGATGATGTACCTTGGCAGATGATCATTTTATCGAGCAGATACGTCCTTCAACGCAATGAGTGTTCCGAAAAGGGATACGATCAATACTGCTTGTACAATGACAAAGCACAACTGATGCTGTAGATTCTTGCAAGAAGACAAACATGTCGGTCGCTGCCGTTGTCGAGCTTTCAGATACATAGCGAACGATGATATGAATTCGCGAGAGACACCAAGTGCAAAGTACACGGCGTAGCACAGTGTTGAACAATCGTGTTCCATTTCCGTCTGTCTCAATGCCATAAATCAAATGAGCTGACGCACAACGTACTCACAGCAACTGGAAAGGTGATACGTAGAGTGATCCGCTTGAATGGTATGATATGCGGAATACGTAAATGATCATTTTTGCAGCCAAAGACGGATCCATGGACAGAATGATGCTGCGTTCATTATACAAACTGAAACAAGAAGCGGCACGATCGGCGTTGAAGTTCTATGCTCAAGTGTGAAAACACATCATGTGACTGCACTCGTTTCGAAGTCCAAAGAACGTGACGGGCTTTGGTGGACAGTCAAGGAAACTACCCAGTGATGTACGGTAAAAAAAACTATCAAGTGATGTACGGGCAAGGAAACTATCAAGAAGTGCACGCACAATCCTTCCGAATTGTTTTTAAAGTCACGCACTCTAGTTCTTTCTTGTCGAATGCATTCTACGCATAGCCCAGTTTTGCGGAGAGTCTACGGGCCGGTCAATAAGTTCCAGACATGACGTTCGCGCTGCTGATAGGGATCGACACGATTCAGTGTTGCTTCACATGCAATGGGAGGTAAGTCTAACACAATGGGTGCATGTACTGCAGCCCATGCATGACTGGGGTACAAGACAGAGACATGCTCGATGCCTTTTTATCAAGGTGAGTCTAAGACACGATGATTGATTACAAAGACTGTGATGGCTCGTCTCATTCTTGTTATATGTCGCAGGCAATTGATTTGTGGGAGTCCGGCCTACGACTTTGGCTACGTATGAAAAATCTGTCGGTATCAGTGCAATCGCATGTGCTTCTTGCAGTGGGGAGGTACACGGAGATTCGAAGCTGCCACAAGAATACTCTCACGTTAGTTTTCGATTGGTACTCACACCATGCGAAACTGTGTGCAAGGCATCCATGTAAGCCACAAAACAGCAAGAAATGCGATGTAGTCAGCATCTGCCCCGTTGACAAGTACAGTTGTTCCTGTATGCTCGATTGCATTTACTTCCGCATCAACATTCGTGCTTATCGTTTGTGATAGCTTGCATCGACGAAGTTGCGTGAAATAGCTGTCCATAGCCGTTGCTAGATGAGGTTAGCCAAACTACTCATCGTGTGACGAGGCGTGCTAAGCGCCGACGTGTGTCGCGTGTGACATATTTTCATTGCGGCCCTTCGGTAGTTAGAGTTACGACTGCATCGGCAAACGTATCATACTAGGATCTGACGTCATCACTGTACAATAATTTCACCGTCTATGGTCCCGCTTTAGCTTTGTACAGACTCAGCCGGTTCCGTTCTCTGTAAGGTCAATGTGCACGTTCGACCACGCAGACGACATCAAAGCGACACTCAAACTGCCGACCACATAAGTGCATCAGCAAGGCTTTGCTATCCTGAAGGTGGTCAGGATAACTGACATGCGTCCGACCACGAACGCATCACGATTCGGTGTCGACCTTACTGTTTCGAGTAGCGGGTACGAACAAGTGCAGCGATCGTGGCAGAGAATATACAACTTGAGCAATATGAAAGTACTGAATGTCTATCTACGATTTACACAATTGGGTAAGCAAGCACGTCCATGAAGCATTGTGCTACGGATAGTCGTAGCGTATGCAACGTCATTTTGATGTATGTATTCGCGAGGCTGGAGACATGGTCGTACGATGTCGAGTGTACGCTTATTCTGTCTGTCGTTGATGTTCATCTCTCGTTCAAGCAGTAACAAAAGCGAATTCAACGAATTGTTTCACTGAAGATGCGTGCCTTGATCGAGTATAATCGCTATGGCATTCTGCCTTGCAGCTGCTTGCATTGCAGTAAACGGAGTCCCGACGAGCTTGCTGAAAGCGACACCAAAGATAATTAAAACAAGAGCATGCGAAGAATGGCACCAAGAAACAAGATAGTCCAGTCTCAAATGAGATTGGGTGGCGCTGGTACAGGTGTGAACAACATCAAGCTGCAGAAACGCAACCCCACAATGTTTATCAAAGAATGATAGATGTGGGCTGAACTCTCGGGGAACGGGTCAGCATGCATTCAAACTAGGTCCATGCCGTTTGAACGAACTTCTCGACTTGTACAGCTTCGTACTCACTCACAGGGAGTCAATTCGAGTAGTTATCTCGTTCGTCAGTCACTTTGTGCTAGCGTTAACATCAATCGCCAAAATCGAAGTTTCGACCGCAGAAGCGGAATCTGTTGCTGAGATCGCAGGTGGTGATCGAGAAGTGCTTTATACAAATGAATGCTTCAGTGAATCCGGGTTTGCAACCGTAACTTCCACTCGCGTGTGCGACGAATCGTGAAGCGGCTGTATTTAGACAGTTTGGACCGATCCCAGTTCGCGCGTCAGGAGCTATTGACGTTCATCCCGTTCATATGTTCACCATAGAACCCTTGCGCGATATTAGCGCAAAGGCATCACATTTCGTGCGAAGGAATAGCAACTTGACCAACACGCATGCGAGATGAAGTTATGTTTAGCAGTCATTCTGTTCGACTTGATCGACGACGACGTGCTTGGTGAGTTGTATCCCGAGGGCCCTCACGCTCGGCAAGGGTTCACCTAAATGTAGTTCGCTGTATCATCAGACGTTGGGCCAGCGTTCCTCTCGCGTTTCCTTTGTATCGACAGGCCACTACTAGGATGGCTCGTTCGACAAATTGGCGCAGACAGACCACTAGTAGAATGGCTCGCTCACAAGAAGCCTCGACCCGAATGAGACATGGGAGAGGGCTCCTGTCCTGCAAAGCCATACGGTTCGTGCCGAGCCCAGACTTCAAGGTCGCGCAAAACCCATCAACCCACCACTGGGTCAATGTGTAGCCATGTCCTACAGGTCTCACAGGACGATGCCATGCTGTCCATTGATCAAAAAGCAGTATCGGTCTATACTGTCGCCCAAGTTCTAGGCGCCTTCAGGCAACAACTGACTCTGCAGGAGCACTCGAGTGTTGGCATTGTATTGCGATTCAGACCGGACGGGATCATGTACCGCGTCGCGGACGGCGCACAGCGCGTGCTGCTCCTGGACGCACCAGCTGCAACTTGTCGCTCCAACGCTAACACGGATACTGTCACTCATCATCTCTCCACGTGCGATCGCTCTTTGGTGTCGTGCCCTGTGGATCAGAGACCAGGTACAAACAGCAGGTTTATGCTGCCAAGCGAGAGCGAGCCACCAGACGTCGTGATCCACTCAGACGGGTGCGCAATCGCTCTCCATCTCTCAGTCCTCCGACACCGCTGTCCGTGGGTTTACAAGCAGCTGCGCCAGCTGCGGCAGTCGCCACCTGCGGCAAATGGATTCCAGTTGTTAGACGATGCGGAACTCGAGCGATCTCGGGATAACACAAAGGGGCGATTCAAGTGTCCTTTACGTGACATTCGGTCATTGAGACTGGATTACGTGCGTTGTGTCGCCCATGCATGTCGGCATGGGCACGACGTTGACGGTAGCAGTCCAAGAGGACAGTCATGTCAGCAGGACAGCGTTGTTGTAGGCTCGCCGAGGAGAAAACGACTGCGTCAAACAGACGCTAACTCGTCGTTGAGTGGACAATGCGTCGGTATGACGCCGCGACGTGCACGGACTTTGTATGGCGAGCTTAATCATGTACCACGGGTTGGACGAGAAGAAGAGATGGAGTATCTGCGCGGCGCAATGCACGTTAAGATCGACGAAACGAACATTGACGCTGTCGTGACGGCTGTCGAGTATATTTACAGGCGCCATGTGAGGATGATCGACGAGCGTAATGCTTTGGAGGCTGTCAAGCTAGGGAAGAAGCTAGGCTTGGAAAGCACGATGTTGTACCATTCTCTAGCGATTGCTATTCGACGCGTTACGACAGCAACGTGGATTGAGCTGCTGTTGATGGTGTCGACGTTAGAAAACCGGATCGAGCGCCGAATTTTGTGTGACCATCTGATGGCTTTTCTAGCGTCACTGAAGCCTGAGCAGTACTACCGAGCGTTGATAGATATGCGGTGTGTGTGCATCAGAGAACTGAAGGATCACGATGTCCTTCTTCATGCTGTGGTGGGTCTGATCAATAACGTCAGACTCGTGGAGTTTTGGCGAAATCTACTAAACGCACTAACTTATTGGCTTAGTCATCGGTTCTGTACTGCAGACGTGCCGTCGCTAAGAGCTGTCCACCGGCACTTTGCGCCGGAGTGGGAACCGTATATGGAACGGGGTCCGGTTGATCTTCATGTGAAACCTGGAGCAAAGAACCTCTTCTCACTGCTTCAGTTTGGGAAGTACCAGCTGCAGCTACGGATAGATGTTATGAGCAAAATGCCCATTTCGTGGCGAATCATTCGATCTTCGTCACCACAGGTGCTGAGTTCTGATCCAGACAAAGTCGACCACCTCCCATCGTTCGATGATGATCCGAAGTTTTGGATACGTGGGCAAGTGAAAGTCAAGTATTGGCATGCACAGTCAAACCATTCGAAGAGTGTACAAGACATGACACTTCAGTACCAGCATTGCTATGAGCAATATAACCAGTGGCGTGATATCGTGTCTCCGTCGCCTTCGACCCTGACCTCAACTTATACAGCTGCTGCATGCCAATCGAAATGCATGGGGAAGATGCAAGTTCGTGGCAAGTTTTTTGTCTGGGGGGACCCCGTTTGCAGCGTGTACCACTTCTTGCTACAATCAACACTGTTTTACTCGGCCCCACACGGCTCACCGACCGAAATCGCCGACCTCTTCATTGTTTCCGAAATGCAACGGCTACCTCTAGAGACGCTGGAGCTCGTGCTGCGCAGCGACAGCTTGCGTATTCCCGGCGGAGAGCAAACGTTGCTACGATGTCTTAACAAGCTATTCTTTGGCAGTAACTTCACTCACGTCGGGTCATCAGGTAATGAAGCACGTGTGACGTACAATTGCTGCCCGGAAGACATGATGCGTTTGTACGAGTGTGTTCGCTGGTGCTTTGTGCCTGTTGGTGATATCATTGGTACACTAAGACAGTCGCCTCGCGAACTGATGCTATACGAGTTGATTGAGAAAGGCCTCCAAGATACTTTCCGGTGCTTTGTTCGCCGATGCCCGTGGGAATGGCGCAAGGATCAACACACATACACGAAAAGAACGACAAGCTTGGTGGAATTCAGGATCAAAGCTAGCGAGAATCAGCTGTCGCCGGAATACTTTCCGATAGCCCTCAACGCCAATTCGCAAGAGTCGTCACACTTCCATCCCGAAGCTATTTGCTGTGGCTCTAATCGTGTGCAAAGTGTGCCATAAAGGCGGAAGTAAAGTACCTTTGACATTCAGATTGTGCGCAAGCGGAACCAGTCTATCAAGTCACGTAGATGTTACATCGACGGATCTTGCGTCCTACAGTAATCTAAGAAGTGAGGTTGGCTTTTGCAACATATACATGTGCGAGTCGAAAACAAGTGAAGAATTGTCATCGACTCCGTATCTTATCTAGAGTGCGGTCAAGCTTACCCATAAGCGAATGGCAGGCGATCATGTACCAAGCTCTTAGCTTCACATACGCCAGTTTGTACAAGCAATACAACCTTGATCAACCCGCTTTGACGCAATAGCGCCAACGAGGCGACGTGGCAATATGCAGCAGCACGTCAACGTCACTACACAAGTTTGGAAGCACGCGAACGGACTAGCTTCGTCGATTGTGGACATGATTTCGTATGGCGACTGAACAACTGAGCCTATATCATGCTGACCGCTTGGTCGACAATAGTTGCAGGAAGCTGCATACACACAAAGGGTGCAAAGAGGCAGCAGCGCACGTGTTCTGGACTGTCCAAGATCTCGTACAGGTGGGCAGGGATCAACGGATACAACATCGGACTAACGAGGCCACGGGGCACCAAGCCATGTCGAAACACTCCAGCCACTGCGCAAATTGTCAAGCTCCGTTGATACTCCCAACGCCAACTCATGCGCTTGCGGATCTAATTACGAGATGACACCAATGTCACAGCCGCCGACTTTGACGTATCTGGTTTGTGACAGACTCCGCATGCCAAGTGCATGTGTAGGTTGAGCACCGTACGGCGTACTCTTAGGAGACCAACTTGTCCCGCGTCGAGCGTCCGCAAATTCTAGCGAATCGGTCTTTGTCAATTGAACGCCATCGAACACGCTGCCACCAAAGAGAAGCAAAGCTGCAATCCGTGGAGCCGATCGAACGCATGTAGTGGAGAGCCAAGGAAGCGTCCGGTTTACACAGGGTTTGGCCACGACGAGTTGCTACTACCGACACGAATAGTTTGGCTTACGGGTTGCCAGACATTTTGCACATAATGACTCGTAAATCGATGATCATGCAACCCCTTCGGCTAGAGAACAGTGGGAAGAACCTGTCCCATCGATACCTGATCACATCACAATTGCAGCTAATGCCATCGTTTCCGATTCGCTAGTGCTGCAATGATGCAATGGCTGCATCAAGATGCGATTATTAGCTTCTTGCACCCCAAGCCTCAGCAGCTCGATCCCAGCTTGATTCGTGCCTCTCTTCCAGATAAGCTTTTCGAGTGTAGTGCTAAGCAAGACCCGCTTCTTTCTCCAAGTACGCCGAAAGCCCTAACGCCATCATCACCGTCACGATCATCATCGCCGTCGCGCGTATCGTTACAGCTTACCACGGGTGTTATAGCCAGGAGCATAAGCTTCAGCTTTGGTGTCGACGTTAGGCACTGCTTTGACTCACGGTCCCGTTAGTAAACACGATAAAACCAGCCCACCTAAGCGCGCATCGACAAGTTGCAGGTACCGTCCACACGTCGACTCTATCCAGTACTTGCAACAACATTATCTGCACCTTCTCGAGCACTGCCTCCTCTGCAAAACTGTAGAACCGTCCTTTCTGTTTTCGCCAGCGTGCAAATGCAGCTTACTATCCTGTAATCGCCGTCCCGTAAACAGTGTGCAACCGACGACAAAAAACAAACATCTTGTCGCGGTGCTGTCGTCAGTGTACCCATATGGTAACCCACTACAGCCCAGCGCTCCCAACCAATCAAACAGTGCGTTCACGTCAGTATGGCCGCGCTGCGTGAGCTGCTGCTGGCTGCCGAGCGCGCCCCGCAGCCTCTGGACGACGCTATCCTGTCGTTCGCGCGCGCGCTCTTGCTCGAGCCGATAGCGACAGACGCATCGCCGCCGCGTTTGCCGTCCCGAGACGATGCGGTCGCACTGAGTCGCCAGTTTCTAGCCCTTTATCCGCAGGGAGAGCTCTTCCTGCGCGTGTGGCCCGAGGGCCGCGGCGCGGGCAGTCGCTACGCCAAGCGCGATACTTTTGCAGTGTTTCTGCACGTGGTGACGCACTTGCTGCACGTCCAGCAGCAGTTGGACGCCGCGCAAGCCGAAGCGTTTGCACTCCGAGTCGTGCGGGAGAAGACGACGCAGTTGGAGACGCTCTTGAGCTGGAGCGACAAGCCGTGGATTGAGTTTCGAGTGCTGGAGCTGATGACGGCCGTGACAAACGGGAGCCCCGTCGCCGCGCGAGAACTCGTGCGGGTATTCAATTTCCAGTCTCCGGCGTTTGTCAAGTTGGCGACGAGGCGGTGGAAACGACACGAAGACGTAGCGGGACAGGAGGCACCTGATCGAAAGCATGCTCCGGCGCAGCTGCGAGCAGCCTACGTGGACTTGGTGTTGGCCTTGACGGCGTGTCCGGATAGGAGCGTGCATCGCTTTGCAATGAAAGAAGGAGGTGTGACGGCGTCGCTGTGCAAGAGCGTGGATGGAGATTCGATCGAGATGCTGACGACGCTATTTGCGCGACTGGGGGAAAGTGTGCTGTACAATGAGGACGTCGAGCGCAAGAGCAAGTTGGCCGTATACAACGGCACGTGTGTGCATCAAGTGCTAGCGCTGTTGCACGTGGAAGGCGATGCGGATGTGCGGGACACGGCGCTGGGGGTGCTGCATGCACTGTTCTTTGACGACAGCGCGCTGTATGTAGTCCCGCAGAAACACGCGCTGCGACTCTTTTTGTCCAAATCGGCGAGTGCTCAGAGTGACGAGGAGGTGATCACGTCGGAGCAGGCGTATGCACTCAAGGTGATTCGAAACGCTGTCGCGACCATTGGTGTGAATGAGCTCTTGCGCAGCGCACAAGCACAGACGCTTGTGATGCAGTTTCTTGCAAAGTACCCGGGATTTCTGTCGGAATACCTCGCTGCGTTATCACTTCAGCTTGAACCGAAGCCAGTCTATCGATGGTTTTGCGTTGCTTCCTTGGTGCAGAAATTACTGTCCTGCCCGCTAGACGCGATTGCAGTGGGAATGCCGACAAACGACAACCGGGACGCTCAGCACTCGTGGTGTTCTGCATCGACCTTTGCGTCACGGCTTATTGCACCAGGAAACTTCCGCAAGGAGCTCTCCCGTGGCATCCAGCACAGCAACAAATTAGTGGTCTACTCGTGTCTCTGCATAATCGAGGCGATGCTAAATCGGTATGTACGCGTTGCCCCGCTGTTGCAAGACCTGGGCTTTGCTTCCAAAGTGCGATCAGAGTTGCGGTTTCTACTTCCGAGCCCAGAGGCGCTTGTGTCGTTGTTGCTCAAGTTGTGTGCATCACAGGAGCGCAGCGTTGCGCTCATTTACTTGCGCGTGCTCACAGTGTTTCGTCTCTATATGGAATGCCTCCCTCAAGCTATGCGTGAGATAAAGGTCGATTTCACGAAGACGCTAACGTGGCAATACTTGGATTGTCCTACCGACGGTACAACTAAGGGCGTCGTGTCGACAACACCGCTCCAGAACTTGATCGTGAGTGAGATGCTGCGATTTCTGCTTGCGATGGACGTCCCTCGTCTTCGATTTCTGTTCACTAGTGGTAGTTCTGACTATCGCTCGAAGCTCCAGCAAATGCTGCTGTTGTACGTATCAACGGCAAGTTCCTCCGTGCAAGAGCTTGCGGGTCAGGTGCTTCGGCGCACGTTGCTGGCTTCGGACATCTTTGGACTGACAACACAAGGAGAAGAGAATCACGAGATTGGTGGTCTTGCAAATGACGAAGTCTCCTTTTGGCTCGAGAGTTTACGCCAGGGTGGCGGAAAAGTCTGCGCTGTGTTCACGGAAAGTCTCGCGCGCGTTGTGATGGCCGATCCACTCAAATATGTCGCAATTGGTCGCCGTGCTGTAACACCTGCACACTCTTCGTCCTCACTTAGTCCAATGACTGTGGCGCTAGTAGAATTTCTCAGCTCGCGCATGGGAGTAGCTGGGAACGCAGACCTGTCAGTATATCGTGCCGACTCGTGTGTGGTAGCGTTTGCTGCACGCATTTTGCTAGCGTTGATGCCGACGAGCAAGCATCCGCAGCAATTGGTCGCGCTGGTTGCAAGCAGCAATGCTTTTTTTGCGGATACGGAGAGTGCGTCACAACCACATCAAGACGAAGACGACAAAGTCCGCAGCAATAACTTGAAAGGCAAGAAACGAAAGCGGTCGGATGAGACGATGCGTGGAAGTGATGCTTACGTGTGGCTCAAGACGACTTGTGAAGCACTTGTGTCAGGAAAGTGTCAGTCGAGCAACGTTGCCACCCCTAGGAAAGCGACGAAAGCTGGCACAAAGTGGCACCACCAGAGCGATGTGAATGCGCTGGCTACCGCTATAGTTGCAATGACGCCATCGTGCTTCGTTTCATCCTGGGATCAAGTCGTTTGCAACTGCGCTGAAGTAGCAGCGAATTTCGGCCCCATTCTCCACTATCTATCCGGGCGAGGAAACGTGGACATTCTTTCATTGTTGAGCCGACGTGTGACGCGATCGGCGACGAAAGACAAGGAGCAGCAACAACAGCAGCAGACGTCCGATTCGTCTCCTGTCGAAACGTTCACAGCGACGGTTCCTTTGTACATTGTCCTGCAGCATGTACTGTTCAGCATCTCGAGTCAAGATCGCGACGAACAAAACTCGACGATCACTACGATGCTATGGTTGGTGAAGAGTCGAGTCGAAAATCATCAGGTTGCAGCTACGGATGCAGCGCGCATGTGCGAACAGCTACTGTTTTTCTTCGCAACAAGTGACCACGGCTTCTCCGAAATCGGTTACGCCAGACTTTGCAAGCTGCTTGTACAATTGCTGACGATCTGCATTGTTCAGGGCGAGACGAACGGGTTAACCTCCAGCATTGTTTCACGCATTTTCGCCAAACTTCGAGCTGTGATCGCTGGTAGCTCTAGCTCTGCTATCCAGCGTCAGCTATACGCCGTGGAGATTGTGGCTGTGCGAGTGTACTCGAGCATCAATCCGGACTCAAACCTGGACATGCTGTGCGATTTCGCCGATCTGCATCAGTGCGCAAGCGTACCCTTTGTGGCTGTGTTGGCCTCACTCGTTCCTCCCAGCACTCGTATCACAGTACTTGACAGGCTTTTGCACCACGCTAGCGCCCGGGCTCTTCCTGCTCCACGCGCAGTACTTCTTGAGCGTCTGCTTGAAACACTTGGAAAGTGTGGGACGGATGAGCGTCAACGACCGTGTGACGTCCATACGCGCACGAAGTTGCTCACGCAGAAGCTCTGGCTGCTACTGTGCAGCGAAAGCAGCCAGCGGAAGCTGTCGTTTTTTGTGGCTGGATTCACGGTACTGGGACGCCTGGGCGGTGTCGATGCTTCAACGGCCGTGCCATGCATCGCAACTTCTCTTGTGCCACTCGTGGTGCGAAGTGCGCACGTGACGTCAAGCCAGAAGCCCTGCACTGAAATGCTGACAGCGATTGCTACAGCCATTCGAAGTGGCAACGAGATTGCAGCGTTTCCGGTTGTCTTCGAGGAGCAGCTCATGCAGCAGATCCAGCAAGTGACGGATGAGCGCGTGAAATGCCGACTGATAGGGGCGCTGTACGATGTGTTCACGCGGGTAGTGCATCCCGAGCTTCGAGCACTCTCAGTCGACTTGATGCCAGTCTGTTACCAGCATGTGCTACTAACGGCTCACGAAGAGTGCTCAGCAGAGCTTGCACTGATAAGGCACTTGTGTACGGATGCGTCTTCGAACAGGAACGCAATGGCGCCTGGTGTGTCTCTTCGTGCCATGCTCAAAGAGCTAGCAAGATCTCGGTGCGACGAGGCGTTGTCGTCCTCGCAGCTGCTTGCTCTCCTCTTCCTGTCGCGCAGCAGTGGCTATCCCGACAGTGCAGCAGTAGATCTACTGCTACTCCTCATTCGAAGCGGGGTTTGCAGTCTCAAGGCAGTGCACGCCAAAGCGGATGAGCGCGCGGTACGCAGCTGTGACTGGCCTTACGACTTCGAGGCCACGATGCTTCTGGTGGAGAGAGCTATCGGACTCCTGCAGCATGAAATGCACGAGAAACAATTGTCAGCTCTCAAAAAGGTACTTCCGCTATTTGCTGCGATGCGTGAAGGTGTCCGAGAACGTACGAGCAAGTGGGCATTCGGGAAGTTTGTGGGTATGTCAGCGGCATTGCTGCGTCTCGCGGGAAACGATGCAGGCGCAGTCGAATACGATTTTGTAGCTCACTTTGACGCCGTCGTGCAACACCCCTGCTTCGCAACGAGTCTGCAAGACGGCGACAACAAAGAAGTACAGCTGTTGGTCGCTCGGGTCGTCGCACAACTTGTTCGCATCACGAAGAAGTACACACGCCCGCTCTTGCAGACGTTGCTGGCCTCATATTCAATGTCGCTCTCCCGTTTCGATCGCGCTTTGCGGGTGCTATTTGACGAGTTTGAAGCTCAGAAACAAGATGGCATGACGTTGGCGAGCATGGGCTTCCGCTTTGGCGCATCGTGTACGGTCTCGCCAGCAGCTGCTATCCCGGCGTCATCGAAAGGGTTTCACAACGACTTGGTTGACGACTCTGCCTGGGTCCTTGGAGGAGGTCTTGAGCAAGATCGTGTTCGTGCGACCATTGAGCGCTTTCCGCTCACGCGTACAGTGTCAACGACGAGCGACGCACATCTCCTGCATCTCGACGAAGAGCTCTTTGCTGTTGACGAACCCAATGACGACGCTGAGCAGGCACTGTTTGCGGATGGTGAGCAGCCGATAGAAGGCTACGACCCAGCGTTCCTCTTGCCAATGCTATCGTCGTTCATCGCGTCGTCCAACTTGCCCGATAGTGGCATTGTGCAGCATGGCCTACTGGGCGTTGCAATTCGCGCGACGTCGTCTGACAATGAGGAAATGCGCACGTATGCTTTCGGCATCCTGGCACATTTGCACGAGTCGTTGCAAGCGTTGTCCGAGACGTCGAGCGACTTCAAGGCGGGGCGTCAGGTGCATCTATTGCTGGATGTATTCCGTCGAGGGATTCTCGAGCCACTGAAGCAAGTGCCGTCGGTCGTGACGGTGTTCCTCAATGACGCCCTTGCTGTTTTACTGCGTCCAACACACGTGTTGTACCCGCAAGTGAATCACTTCCTGCTAGCGCGCCCCGCAATGGATGTGGCTGATGTGCCAATGTTCTACTCGCTGTTCAACAGCCGAGCACCCCTGACTTTTCGGCAAGAGCGATCGTGGCTTCTTCACACCCTTCGTCGCGGCATACGCAACGATGACGACGTGGTATTGCTTGTACGCCGCCACGTGCTTCCGATGCTGATGAGCTTTTACACTTCGGAACTCGCGGATACGCACACCCAGCCGCTGATCACGAACATTCTCGTTGAAACACTGCGCACGCCGTCAGGCGGAGTTTATCTGGTCACAAAGACAGCATTGCTGGAATGGTTGGCGGCACAATTCGTACGATACGGAGCTGCTCGTTTGCCTGCGAAATCGCGCAATGATGCATCGATTGGATCGACATCGCGTCCGGCTTCATTGACGCTGCTGCGCCCACTTCTGACGGTTTTCGAGCAAGCACTACGCGATGATGGGATCTGGAATGCACTGGACGCTGCCCATCAACATGCAGCAGCTCTGCAAGCAGCAAATGCGTTTGCATGTCTGCATTCAGCTATTGCGGCGCATCGCGCTGGCACAAAGATCGACTCTTCAGTCACGAGCAAGGTTGGCCTCATTGCGAAATCAGTCGTCCGTCGTGCTGGTCTCGTGTGCTCCCTCGAGTTGCTGCACAGTGCTCTTGAAGTGGTCCAGCAGCACTCTGCCAAGCCCGAAAGTGCGTGTATCGAAGTGGCCGAGACAGTAGCCAGCAATCTCAGCCAATGGCTGCTGCAACACCGTCACTATGAAGCCCAGAAGCAGCGGTTTCAGGACTGGGCGCTGCTGCTGCGTCAAGTGGTTTCGGTACTTGTCTCGTGCGACAGCAATGTGGTGCCAAGTAAGCAGCAGCGAGCAAGGTGGTCCCTTGAACAGCTCAAGTCCGTCTTGGATCAATTGCCGACACTGAAACAACTCGTGTTAGCACCTGCGACTACGGAAAACGCACCGAGCGTCGTTTCTGTGCCTGCACTGTTCTAGACACCGAGTACATGGATAGATACACGGATACATACACGATCGATCATCGAGCAAGACGTCACCCAACGGGTAACCTCCTCGCTTGGCTGCCGAGAAAGCCGCTTGTCAACGAGGTGCTGCATTAGGCGACACCCACAGCATACACTGCAGTAGTTACATCTCAGCTACAGAGCCCGTTCATTTGAAATACGTACGTGAATGAACAGCCAAGACGGAGACCGCACTTCTCGACACTACATTTCTTGCATCAACGGGCACAAGTTCCAGAGCTTACGCGTCATTTGTTCGGTTTCTTTGTCCAGACAGTGACAGCTTCCCAAAATGTATCTACAAGTCGAGTTTGGTGCTGCTGTGCGGATTCCGTCGCACGAGTTTCAGACCCAAACAAGGCGATCTCTGAACAAACAGAGAGACGTGCGAGGCAACAAACCACAGCCACTCTCGTGACAGTCGCATGGATTGCTGCCACGTTGCCATTGCAGTAGTGCATCGGCGATGGTCCTTTGGCTCAGACATATGTGGTACGAACGGTTCTGCGTGCTTTGCGTAGTTAGTTAGTTAGTTCGTTGGTCAGATAGATAACTTGCAACCAAAGTGACGCCAACGATCACGAGGAGCTCAGCCATTGCAGGATCGGGACAACAGTCGGACCGTCAACTTAGGCACCTGGTGCTGATACTGCTCATGATGCACCGACACGTAGAAACGCCTTCTGCCAGGAGCTCAAGACGAATGTTTCAAGAGGTACACCAATCAGATACGGTGTCAGGAACGTGGCTACAAGTGAGGCCATGTAAACAACGTAGCCATCCTCTGGACGCCCACACAACGTGCGACGACTTGACACGAAACGCCTCCAACACGACGGCAGTCTCCCCGCCCGCTCGACGACAACGACCGGTCTTTACTTTGCAGTTAGCTGCTGAACCTGCGCCGTCGCTTGTCGCTCGACTGCCTCCCACAATGCGACTTGAACCGGCACACAAAACACACTCTTGACAACCGCTGCCAGTCCACGAACTCCATTTGCTGCTGAGCTTTAGTCGTCGTCGTCGTACTCCAGCGTAAACTTGGGCTCCACTATATCGGCATCGTCGTCGTCCGCCAAGACAGTGGCCGCGACGGCAGTCGCTGCTGCTGCTGGTGTTGCTGCTGTTGTTGTTGTTGTTGCTGCTGTTGCTGTTGTTGCGGTTGCAGGTCCAAGCAATTGACTACCAGAACCAGAAGGTGGTGGCAAGACAGAGGCACCGCCTCCTGGGACGTGGGTCCGACCTTGGTCTGTACCGCTGCTCGGGTGCGAAGGGCCTTGGGTCACGAACGTCGAGCTCGCCGCTGCCCCGGGGTAACCTTGCGGGGGAGTCATTGTGCCCGACTGGAGGTCGAGTGGCCGCGCGTGCCGCCCAGCCTGGCGGGGCCACAGCGACGTTAGCAAAAGATACAGAAGCGCTAGTGCCGCGATCACCGTGTGGTTCATTATATACACCTCGGGGGGCTCCGTAAGATCTAGCTTGAGAAGAACAAGACGATGGCGCTGCAGCAGCAGAGGGGGACACGAGGGACCGGGACGCAGGGTCCACGCCGAGTTGGGCACTGGACGGTGCGTGCCACCGACTGTCAGCCTGGTCGGCCTGCACCGCGGGAGGAGGTCTCGGTGGCCCCGTGGCCTTGTCGAGCTTATCTTCACCGTGAGCAAAGCTGCAACGAAAAGAGAGAGCAGAATAAAGACAAAGAGCCCACAAAGGGAGTTCGTGATGAGACAACAACGACAAGCAATTACATGCACACACGCCAAGGCAGCCTCGACGCTGCACCCCAAGCAATGCTGGTCATGCTGCCAATGCTACGGCTGACATAGTACCTGCAGGTATCTCCAAATCGACAGTTGCCCACTGGATAGTTGCTACACAGCACAGGTTTCCGCCTACTTTCAGCCGTGTCTGCTCGGGGTCCTCCCGACTGACACGGGGGGTCGTGGATGTGCCTACGCAAACCAAACGACAAGAGAGACCAAGTCAGTACGCGTGTCTCAGCTGACCCACTCGAGACACAAGAGCAAGCGACAACCCGTACCAGCAACGATCACCAAATGTGCATCGTCCAGCAAGAAAGTTGCGGCAAATTTCTCCAGAAGTACCAGGCACCCGATTGCTAGGACCCCCCTGTCGGTCGCCCGAACCAGGAAACGACGACCGCGGCACCCCAACCTGATGGCGAGGGCTTGCGCTGTGCTCGCCTAGACTTCCTGGCTGTGGTGAGCGCATACTTTCGCTATGTGGCCATCCAGAGCCTAGACCACGAGACGAGGGCACATTTCTGCTCCACTCGTCGTATCTTGGCGGGACACCTTGTGAAGATTGTAACAACGCAAACTGGCGAGGTGGTGAGCTGTAACCAGATCTGCCGCTATCAGGATGATAATCGACCTCTCTGACATGTGACGTAATTATTGGAGCAGCTCTATCATGCGACAAAGAGTTGTCCAGCTTAGGCGGACCCCAACGAGATCCGCGGGCTCTCTTGGTATCACGGTCGTCCACATCGCTTGGACGGTCGTCAGGGACTCTACGAACACGACCGCTTCCGACCGGGACGCCAGGTGCATCCCCCATGATACCGCCAACGTCTCTGCTGGCGTAGAGGTGGTTGTCCGCTCGTTGCTTGACATAACTGCGATGGTTATACTCCCCAGCGTTGTCTCTCTGGTATCCGTCTCCGTTTAGTGACTCGTCATATAGCGGTCGCCCCTGCTGTTCACTGGAATGCTCTTGCTCCTCTTTCTTCTGCTTGATGATTGACAACAACGACGCCAACTTTCCTGGAGATGCACAAGACGCGGCGCTTCCATCCTACAACACATACACAAGAGTCAGAACGTTCACACCACCATGCACACAGTAGATAGCAAGTCCACACGAACGCGTACTTGTCCTTGAGATATGTACTCACGCCCTCCGGCGTCTTCAATCTGTTTCAATGTGTAAATACCGCGCTTCTCCCATTCTTCAATCACATGTCGCACTTTGGGCTACAGCGACGTACGTACGTGCATCAATACCAAAGAGACCAGCCCCAACGTCAGTTGCCTTATTCAAGTCCTCTTCTCTCCATTCCATCGCATACCTGAAGTTGCTCAGGAACTTTCTTCACAGCTGCGACCGTGTCCGACAGTCGAACAAAGAACCGCTTGACGTACGCGTCTTTCGGGCCATTCTTGGCATGAGACTGCAGCAAAACCCAACAAGAGCACACAAAAGGTCAGCTCCGTCCGTGCAGAACAACACTGCACAACTAGTGTTGCAGCCTCGTTACCTGCCGAATAATTGCGTCAATAGCATACAGTCCTGCAACACAAACAGGAGGACATTTCAACACAATCCGTTCGTTCGTTACGCTGTCCCCCCCGTCGCACCTCACTTGAACAATGTATACCCCTTACCAGCCAATCGGTGCTCGACCTCCGCCTTCCACAAAAACACTTCAATGTCGTGCACCACATGTTTATAAAACTGCATACAAACACCCAGTCAAATTCCACGCCACTAACATGGTTCGCAACATGCATACAAACATCAAGGTTCAATCGCGCGCCACGGCCCCCGGTCGTCTGACCCGTGTCTTGGGCGCTCACCTTGGAATAATGCGCTGCGAGCTTCGCCACCGCCCCAATGCGGCTCTGCGACACGCCCTTCGCCGTTGCTAGACCCTCCAGCGCCTTCTTGAGCTTCTCGAACCCTTCCCACGCGCTCGAGCGGGAGCTTCGGGATCCCTCGCGGTGCTCGTGGCCCCCCATCCGATTGACCTTTTCTTGGCTTTCTGACTGGCTGGGCGGATCTTGGACTGGATGGTGTGCACCACATGAACCCCACGAAACCTGTACCCACTTCCTTGATCGGCAGCGTTTCTGTGCGGTTCAGATTGCGCGATTCACCTCAGCTTCGAGCGCGTAAATCAAGACAGTCCTGATTTGGGACGTGGTACAACTAGCTGGGGACTGTGTTTTTTGCAACGTTTGGTGTAGACCAGATGCGCTGTTTTTCATTGGCACCTTAAACTTGGCTGCACCAATTCGACTCCATCAGAAACAGATGCCACTTGGGGGCTTATAGGATGAGCTAGAACCGAAGCATGAGAACTATTTGACGAGAGACGGTCTAGTTCCCTTCATTATGGAATAGGTACGTTCCTTGTCCGTTTGTGTGCGAAAAGTCTAACACTGGCGGTACTGCGGACCACCTTGAGACAAAGCCGTAGATGTGCACGTCGAGGTCGAAAACTGACGGAGCGGCAATTGATCTGTTCTTCGCATTGTGCTGCCGGCTAATCCTTATACCAATGAACAGCGTTAGCAGCTTCACATACAAAGTCGTCAGTGTCCTGTCGGTCGGTCGATCGATCGATCGATCTTTCAGCACTCATTATGCACGCGCGCACACGAGATCGCACTGGTCCAAGACACTGGATACAAATGTGGATGACGGCTGTCAGGCTAAAGATTGAAGCTTTCGTCAACGGTTGTTGCTGAAAGCGAAGGAGAAAGCAGACGTGGTAGTAGCCCCACAGTATGAGGTGGACCCAGTAGCTCTCGCTGGCTTGTCCATCACTCTTTGTTTGCTTCATACTTCGAGCTGTTCTGCCTTTTCTGTATCATCTAAAGCTTCCCAAGAAGCTTCAGCTCGCTAAACTTACAAACAGCCCCGGCATGTCGTGTGTACCCATCGAAAGTGGTTCGATCGCAGCAGATCATGGTGCGCAGCATGCACACATCGCTTCTACTACCGTCCTGCAGTTGACCACGTACGAGCACCCTGCGACAACTACCGCGCAACGGCGATGAGCACTTTGTCTTGCAGGAGTCCCGCTAGATACCCGGCAATTCCCTACGCTCGCATGTATGATATGAAGAGACGAGCACTTCGCCATTTGTAAGCGATTCTAATGTTTGGCATCTCAGCTGCCGCACAATCTTAGCGAGTGCGTGACTGTGTCAATGCTAGCGTTCGAGATATCGATGAGTCTAGTAAATGATTGTTTTTAGATCCCATTCGGTCGCACAATTATCTCTACTCGCCGTTCTTCCTTCATCGCACTCCGACCGTCGCTTTGTAAGTCGAACTTCACCAGAGACTTTACCAGAAACGCATGTTGGTTTTGCGGTTGGCAACATCATCATGTGACTTGGATGGTAATGGTCCGGCTGGTCCACTATTTCTTACCGAGACGGTGTCTGAGCGCATAAGTCAGTCCGCCCAATTCGGCGGCCAACTAGTGCGTGTTTCCTTTGCAACCAACGCAAAATTGCCTCGGACGTTGTTGATGCGTGACGTTGGCTACACGGCTGCTAATTGCATCTGGCACTGGTCGCGCGCATCGCCAATCATTGTCGAGTTACTACACAGGGACGATCTGGATTGTCGATCCGACAGCTTATTGATACATGACAACTACGTCTCAGAGCTAGTGTCGATACGATCAAGAGCGCGGCCAAATGCAGTCGACAATACGTCAGCGTCGCAATGCGCTCCTTTCATCCCGGTGAGTTTGCTGACATGTCGTCATCAAGTCTCGCGTACAAGCATCAAATCATCCAACACGAGTGTACGTCACTCGATCGACAACGTGGTCATTTGATCAAAGACCAACAGCAGAGACCTCTAAGTTCTATCATGTCCTTGACAAGCGAAATGGCAGAAGACTGCTTTGACGAGCAGCTGGCTTCATCTTCATCCCGTATTCTGGACGCTGCGCATGGGATAAGCCTGACCGTTGACGTATTGCTACAATTTTGCAGCTATTCCAGCACAGTTGCTCTTTCGTTGCTGTGCCTGAAAGTCAACTCAAAAGCTGTTAGCACGAGATACTCGCACCCGATCCACCAAAATATTGACCGATTGCCCCAATAAACGTGCCTGATGATGCTGGACGCTTCGGCGACTCATTCACGGGCGCTCGACACCTCGTACTGCCATAGTACGAGGTGTTCAGTTGCTTATGGCATGGGTTGCACCACTTTGATGCACGATATGTTGGCCTGTATGGACGGTAAAGCCAGAGCAACTAAACGAAGCTTCAGATCGCTTTCGTCTTTAGCTTGCATACCAAGACTAGTGCTTGCATCGTCATCTTAGTATCGTCAAGAAGAGGCTCATTCGAGAGACTAGACCGAACGCAGCATACATAAGCAGTGTTGCCCAGTCCACATTGATGCTGCTTATATTGACCTTACCTCCTCGAAAACACGGCATGCTGGTTGCCCCATTTACACTTCTACCGTCAAAGTCGACACTTCGTGCTCGACTGCAGCGGCGCATTGTTGTCCACCTATGATTCATCAAAGGTCGTAGCATCCAGCAATTAACACTGACACCGCTGAGTAGACAGCATAGGATACGCGGCCGTTCAACAAGTCAAGCGATTGTGTATTCGACAGCTTGTTGTTTGCAGTATAGATATGGGAAATCGATTCAGGCCGTTCTGCTGCTCGTCCCCAGATCATCCTGCAGTGTGGACTCCCCTAGCAGCGCCACAAAATACGACGCTCTGCTTTGCTCCGCCGCCTTTGGTACCAGATCGAATGCGTTGAAGGGCCTGGCCTATTATTTCGTCGAGCGTTCTGACCGTGTTTTGGATGTTAACAAATGGTGATGCTCGCGGGCTTCGCGACGAGCTGTAACGATGACCGTTTGGTGAATGCGTAGTCGTCATCCTCTCGCATTCGGAAAACTTCGCTCAATTCGGAGACGATACCGTCTGTTGGTCACGAAGAAGACACGAAACGACCAATGACTGTTCTGCCGGTGGTGACATTCGAGCACACCGTTGCCGGTCGTCGAGCGCAGGGTGTCTACGGACTTGATCGCGTATACAGCAAGCACCTGAAGGTCATCTTCGCGTTACCGTACCGATGAACGAAAGCTCACACGGCTCTCGCTGTGACAATGTACTTCCTGTGAGCGGCGGCGATGCACGGCGAAAGCTAGCTGGAGCTGAAACGTCGAGGGCAGTTGCAGGTAAGAATCGATTCGTGCACTGGATGCTGGATCGCAGCCAGTCGCGCGATTTCGATACACACCTGCGGTTTTTCGACAACGTGGCGTACAGCTGTACTGCTGTAGTTGCTCGTACACACCAGAGTGTGTTCGAACCGATTAGCGTGCATGTGGCAAAGTACGCAGCGGAACGACCTCGATATTGATCCGTACAAGTCAGGCACTCTAACTCGCGATTTCCTCACCCGCCGCTCGTGGGGTCGTTACTAAGCTAGCAACAACACTTTGCTGGCAGCGCTGGGTTTGTGACTTCGTGTTGGCGGACACAGACACTTGTGGGAACATGCAATACATGCAATGTCAGTCGGGAGGTCAGTGGTTTTTCCAGCGTAAGTATTGGGGAGTTATATGTATTTGTTTTTTCGCCTTTCGGTCAGCACGCTCGCGTGGCCCAATGGATACGGCGCTGCCCTCCTAAGGCAGAGATTGCGGGTTCAAGTCCCGCCGTGAGTAATTTCTTTTCACGATTTGACTGGTGGAAACGCAAATTCAGCCAGACACCTCACATTCACATGATGGAGATGCGCAAGACTGGAAATAAGCTGGCGACGATCGATGGAGGATGCCACTTTCGAGCTCAGGTGTCAGCCCACGAAGGGCAATCATTACATATAGACCATTCAGTCACAGCACTGAGGATAGTGCTACAAAAAGTCCCATGTCCTCTTACGTTGACAATCGAGCTCCACGCTGCAATGGCTCGTCCTGCACCCAGTGGAATGCTTTTCTATGGCCCAACATCCATTTCTCTCATGTGCTATGTGGTACAGCCGTTGCTTGATCAGCACTCGCTGTCTCGAGGCATCTGCATCTTAGCAAAGTCGTGTAGCTCTCATGCAGCGTAAACGTGCCGCGCGTTCCGTGGATTACCATTGCTCCGGAGCTGTCGATCGTCGAGACCGTTATTTATTGCCAAACGAGATGATAGCTTGCGAGATACCAGGTATAATACCCCCTCGACATGAGCTTTGACTCGCTTTATCAACGAGGCGACGGCAATGTCAAGGCGGCCTCAAGTGCAGACACATGAGTCCTAACAGGCTCTCGTTCGACTTGCAGACGGTTGAGTGCTGGAACGAGCAGCACACAGTCTCATTGCACGTCGTATGGTGTGAACAAGTTCGAGTGCGAAGGATCTACACACACAAATGCATAAATGCTAAGCAGCAGCAGAGGACGCGAAACGACACAGAGAGAGTCCGCCGCTACAAAGGTGCGGTCCACCGTTCATTCCGACACTTCCAAGTCCAGCTCCAGCCCGACCTCTTCTCAGCCAATATTTGGGCAGCCACTTTCGACAAGCATCCTCCCTCGCGTACGTCGTCCGGGGTGAGGCATCGGTCTCGTGTATGCCGTTCATGCGGCTTCCAGCCGTGCATGTGGTCTCTCATGGCGTACATCGGATTACCTACGGTACACCATCACGTGACACGGCGACTCGCCACGCGAAGCCACTCAAACGTCCACGCAGACCATGCACACTAATCACTATACGACGCTTTTGACCATGCATCGATTTCACATTGGCCCTCCTGGCTGCACGACGTCACCTCGTTCTTGTACCGTTACTAAAGCATGAGAAAGCCGACTTTTTGGAAAAAAGCATCACACTCTCGTGCATGAGCTGCACGTGTTTACACAAACGAAAGTACGCGAAAGTAAAGCGATCGTGTGCCAACTTGACACCGTTACGCGACCAGCGAAGTTCACGGTAATGAGTGACACACCATACCGCACTACCAACATCACACTCGCCGGACAAGTCCCGCTTTCCGTATTCGAAACGTCCATAAACTCAGAACGACAGCTTGGAGGCGAGTTACCTCCGAAAGCAGAGCTCGGGACGATACAACAGAGTCCTTCATCTTTCGTACAAAGTCGAACAAACTGTGCGATCCAACCTATGCAAGCAATCGCTTTCGAAAAGCCAGGCATGGCTGTTGCTCGAGTTACCGTCGCGAAAGCAAGCTGTCACCGTCTCAAGTGTAGCTCTAGACCTTTGCAACGTTCAAGTTCAACAAGTTCCGCGATAACGTCGCACGTGGCGAAAGATGCGCCTCTTTCGTCCATACCCGTTCAATTCGAGATGCACCTTCGTGCCTTTGCGAAAGTGCTAAATCAAAGCGCGTCGTCGTCGTCACACACGAGCGCGCGGTTCGGAATCAGGTCTTGATCCAAATCGTACCGTTATGTACCGGTTCGCGTCCACTCTTTGGCCGGTTGTGTTTCAATTCGAGCATCGCCCATCGCATCCGCAGGCAAACTGACTGACTGACTGACTGACTGCGACGACCCCCACGTGCTCGCGCTTCAATGCCCCGAAGTGTCGTGACGTACCGTCACCTGTCGACGTTCTTGACGTTTGAAGACGCTACGGCTGCGCTGCACACGTACGACGCGTTCCATTACATTATGGCCTACAACTACGGCCCCAGTGTGAACGGCAAAGTCTACCGGTGCATCTCCCACGAAAGCTGTGGTCGACGGCTTCGGGTGGCCGAGTGCAACAACGAAGAGGCGGAAATCCCCGTGACGTTCCAGTTGGCCGTCGCGGGCGTCCACGGGACCAGAGCGTCGACGCGAAGACGAGTTGGCATTGACATGTCGCTCAAAGCTGAGGTCGATGCCTTCTTGACGCAGGGCATGCAGCCAAAGACGTGTCGCCTCGTGCTCGAGAAAAAGTACGCAAAGCGACCGAAGATGCTCGCAAAACTCCCGAACGAAGCGCAGGTGCGGAACCGGTTGCTGACGCTACGGAGACACAAGCAGCAACGGGTCGAGGGAGCGGGGACGACGGACTCGACGTCGTCGACTGCATCCTCTCCGCTGCCTGCACTGGTCGACGACTCGCTTCAACTACAGGAGGATTCCGAGTCAGAGTGGGTTGATGACGGTGCCCACTTGGATGCAGAGGACGCGACGAGCAGCACGGGCGAGCCGGGAGGTGGGGACAAGCCAGAGCGGTTTGACAAGGCGAAGCTCATGAGGGATTTCGCAGCGTTACCTGGACGACCAGTGTTGTGGAACGTGCTCAAGAAGACTCGGTATGTTGATGACGAGAGTGAGGAGGTCGTGACGGAGTGGACAACTGGTCGGGTGGTCAAATGGCAGACACGCGAGAACGCACCTACCAAGTGGGTGGTGCACTACACAGACGGCGAGAAGCGTGCTTTCGCACTCGAAGAGCTAGTGGATGAGATTGAAGCATCGATAAAGCAGGGACTGGACGTTATGAATCGGCAAGGGAGCTTCTGAGTCGTTATTTTTGTCACCATGCGAAACGTCAAGAGCTGTAATGCAGGTCCACGGAGTCAACGGCTTGTCGTGGCACTATCGTGCGCGATCACATTACGTCAAGGTATCCTGTTTGTCGACTAGATGCTACAGCTTTCCCGTTGAGCTGACACAAGCTCAGAGGTTCGGCCCTGGCTCCACGTCATCCGCCGTTTGTACAATAGCAACTTAGGGGGCGCTGCGCTTTCGAGTCCAGGCGTACCCGACTGTGTGCCCGACGCCTTGGTCACCTCACCTGGTATGATGTGACGCCGAGCATGGGGTAAGGATGACAAGACGTGCCCAGTACAAGCCACACCTTTGTCTGAGGTTATCATGTCCTTCAACGTTACACCCTGACGGTGCAGCTACAAACGGCCATGCAATTGGTATGCTGCAAACCGCACCATACCCTCAGCGCTTCTTGTCACCTACCGACGGCCAGGCCTTGAGTTACCGTTGAATGACATGAATTCCTCAGAGTCTTTCAGCGAAAAAGTGACAGCAAGTTATGAACTAGACGTACAAATACAAGCAGTTGATAAAGCGATACCATCGCGGCTTGGACGTACGACTCCCGGGTGTAAACGCCTACAGATTGTATGAGGCTAAGACGCGCAAGCGCTAAGTAAAAATATGTCAACCGATGCCCTGACACTCTTTACACTACGGGTGCAATACCTTAACGAAGCATACCAACACAGCTTTCTACGTGAAAAGTCAACAAGGTCAATTGTTAGCAGCGCCTTCTCGTTTGCAGGTACACATGCGCGAAGGAGAAACTCAAGACTCGGAAGTACGAAAAGTCGCGTACAGCATGATGAGATTGCACTTGTATATGAGGACGGTGTACAGCTTAGTTGTGCACAGGTAATTTGTGTCTCCGTCGACTGTTGGACATTCGACACTAGGCAGGAAATGACTCCTCAGAGAAAGCGCAGACTTTATTCGGCAGGAATGTGATCGTAGACGTTTACAACTAATCTAGACCAAGCAGGGGGGGTACAGAGATGGCCAATCGCGGATGCAACAAGCTTGGAAGTAAAAAGTCATACGTAGACGAACGTACCGGCAATATTGCAGCAGACTCGCCGTGTCAGTGGACCACAAACTGGGAGTGAAAAGATGGATGAGGGGCAGTGCAGTGTTGGCCGAGCGTGGCACTACATCAACAGGTGCCATTGGAGTGTGGCTAGTCGTAACCAGTCGACAGCAAATCCGCGATTGATCGCTGCATGGTATCAGCGACTTACCTGCTTTCCAGGAGCCTCTCTGCGCTTATCGTACTCTTCGTTTTAGGCAAGTGGTTGCAAATGTGAGCTAGAGCGCTGCTAATACATCCAAAGTCGGTAGGCGGGTGGTTGCTCAGTCCTCGTAAGTCTTGGCTTTTCCGCCTAACTCTTGGAGCGTCCAACTGCGAGGTCGAACCTGCGTCGCTACGACGGAAAACCTGACCGACACGCCGCTTTTCGTGGACCTCGTTCATAAAGTAAAGTTGTCAGGTTAGTGCATTGCCTGCGCTCCGACCCACTCTTTGCAGCCTCTACGCGAGCAACTTATCCTGTCTTCAACATGATACTGGCATATCGCTAGACAGTTGCGGATCATTCCTGTGATTTTCACGCTATGAGCCAAAGTTCTGCTTCCATATGTTCTTTTCCCACTTACGATATCACTGCTATCAATCAGCATATCTACGTCATCATCGCAGACACATTTTCGATCGACTGAGAGTGCTGTGACAAGGTCAGCTTTCGTCGGCCTCAGTAGTATATTCCGTCTCCCGTATACAAAGTTTGTCGTTCGTGGCATGCGACGTGCTGTCAGCCGACTTTTGTTTGTTGACACTACCCCGACCTCCTCTATTTCATCCGGCGTCTCGTCATAGCGCACGCTTTTTGATCAAAGTCATCGATAAGCTAAATTCTGTATGCGAAGACGGCGTAGATCACACTGCTGTCTACGTGTGTGCGCAAACAATGAGCCTCTCGACACGAACGACAACTCTCTCGACAAAAGCCTCTAGCTCAAAGCTGCCCACCGTAGATCTGGTTCTGACACAAGAGACCAATTCAAATTCTTCTCACGCTATGTCCCTTTTCAAGCAAAAGAGACCATCTAGGCCTTTCCAAATTCATGCACATCTCGTCGCTCGTAAAATGGTTCGTCCACGTACAAAAGCATACGCTCATTGCGCATCTTTTGTAGTCAAATGATGTCCTCAATCAATTACAAACGCTCCCATGAGATGGTAACTTGCTCCTGTAGCTGGTATATATATTCTGCAAGGGTCCAGGGCACCGACAATTTGGGAAAAATCAGCATCCCGATGTCAGCCACATGTGACTTGTGTGTCTGCAGCTGTAACATGAGCTACACCGTTCTTGGATCTGGTACGAGGTCACATAACTTATTCTCTGGTATCTGCAAAAAACAGTTTGCATGAAAACTATCATGCGCGTGAAATGCAGCCATCTCTGCCTGTTCGGTGGCGACCCCACCTCATACGTCGTTATCGGAGGGATATTACACACTAATCAAACTTTAAACGCCCTGTACATATTACGGCAGCGTCGTTACATGGCAATATGAGGACGCACGTCCTGGTGAACGCTCGACGCGTTATTGCAGGGATCATCACGGCACATCACGCACTAAGCGGCGAATCGAACAGGAGACCAAAGTCTGCGATGCCTAGGCTGGGAATTGTTTTGGGGCAAACCGCTCACGCTTGCTGGGCCAGTCATGTGTGGATACAATCCAAGTCTCATCTTTGACTCTTCTCTCGGCATTCGACACAAACTCGAAGTGCAAGTGCGTCGAGTTATAAATATGCGTGCGTCCGTGGCCGTATTCCAAGAAACCTTGTTCCCGCCAATCTACATCGTAGTACCCAGTGTTATCCACTTCAAACCCCCCAGAACCAACCATGAGATGCACTGGTGCCATCGCTTTTCCGTCTGTCGAATCGATACATCGATCGCCAAACACGGCGCAAGTGCGCTCGTACGAGTGGTAATGACCCGTAAACACGATGTCGACATGGCAATCGGCCAGCTCCTGCTCGAGCTCATCACGGATCAGCAGTGACCGGTTATAGTCCCCGGAATACACGACCGAGCAATACATGGGTCGATGAATGTACAAGAAGACCCACGGTGTCTTTGCACGATCCACTGACTTGAGATCGTTCACAAGCCACGTGCGCAGGTGTGAGCCTCGCGTGACATCGTGCTCACTACTCACCACAGCGTGGTGTGCGAGCCCTGTGTCGAAGCTGTACCAATATATTCCGTTGCCATTATCCGGCATGTGAAAACGTTTTTCGGACGGAACGCCACATTCGCCACGGGAATTTTGTCCGTGCTTTTCTTTCTCCTCGGGTGTCAAATGAGGGGGCCCCGTGCTCTCCGTCAAATTCTTGTTTTCAAAGTAGCCATAGTCTACTCAGATGGCCATAACCAACAATGAGATTGGGCTCAGGACAAGTGTCGCGCATGCCAAAACTTACCGTGGTTGCCGATGCTGACCATATAGGGTAGACGAGCGGCGACAGGCTCAATCAGATGGCCAAACTGATCCCAAACGTAGGTAGACCCCATTGCATAAGCCAAATCTCCAACGTGCATGATGGCAACGTACCTGTGTTTGCTTGGGTCGGCAGCGGCTCGATCCATTTCCTCACGCACAAGTGCCATGGTAGTGCCACACCGGCCACTATCTTCGGCAAAGTTACCTGTTGCGCTAGCCGGATTGTTCATATCTCCGTACACGAAGAAGCTCATACTTGAGCCTTGCACGTCCGTCGCAGCACTATTCCTTCCAACAGCAGGTGGCATTCGAAACTCGTGCACATCACTCAGCTTGCCCATTTCATCTCCAACCTGGTAAAAATACTGCTTGCCAGCTTCCAAGTTCGTCATGACTGCGTCGAAAATCTGGCCAGGGTGTCGAAAGTGCGTGGGAGCCACGAGCGTTGCTGGTTCCCTGCACATGTCTTGTGCCTCGTAGCTACTCTGTGTAGCCCGTGCAAGTCGGTTCAACTTGTCCTTCTCTTGACCGTAGTACACGACAGGCCTCGGGACATCGTCGCTCACCCACTTGACCCGCATTTCGTCGCTCTTTTGCGTCAGGGCTAACCGCACTTGTAACGGCTGCGTCGGACCGTGCTTGAACCTCAGTAGCGTCGACTCGCCCAGCACTATCCCCCGTTCTGTCACAAACCTGAGCAGCCACGAACATCGCATGTTGACCAGCGGTCCAACTGTGACAACCCCCGAACCTGTGCCACCTGTCGCGACGGCATCCATGGCCTCATCTGCCGTGAACACACGATGCGCGAGCTCATCAGCTGCACTCACGCAGTACGCTCGCACTTGGTCGCCATCAAACAACTGGGGCTGTGGCATCTCGTACGCGAACGACACTGCCACTGTATCCACATTGTCCAACTCGGTCTGATTGACCTCGAAGCGCGTTAGTTGACGCCAGATAGCGGACGCCCTTTGCTGTACCGACTGACCCGCTCTCAGACGCACGTGCGGTGGAAACGACACCACACAAACGACAAGAACGCCAACGAGCGCCAACAGTCCGCGCAACGAGTGCCTTTGGGAGCAATAGGACGCGACACTGCGAGGACGAAAAGATGCGTCGACGGGCCCAGTGGCGTCGGCGTTCACTCGTGTGGATCCGACGACCGCGCGCTGCCTCGACGTCCCATCTGTGGCCTGAGATTGCATCTGTCAAAAGGTCCGAAAGGCTCAGGAGGTACACCGCAGCGTTCGAATCGACAGTAGTGGACAACAGGAGGCTTTGTTCGGATCCAGTCGGGTGGAAGGCGTAGATGGTCCACAATAATAAGCGGACGTAATCCACTAAGCAAAGCGGACGTGGTCCGCTGTGTAATGCGGACGTGGGTCACAATGGAAAGCGGACGTGGTCCACTCTAGAAAGCGGACGTGGTCCACTATGGAAAGCGGACGTGGTCCGCTATGGAAAGCGAAGGTCGTTTACGATGCAAAGCGTACACGGTCCGCTATGGAAAGAGGCTCGGCGTGTCTTGAGCCCGACTATTTTATCGAAACAAGGTATCGATAATACGTAAGAGCTGTTCGTTTCCAACGAGCGGCGTCCTGCAACCCAATCAATTTTGGCCTCACTCGGTGCTGCTGCGTTTCTACGACAACGATTTTTTTGCTTGTTTGCTAGCTTAGACAAGTCCGAGGTAGCTGAACAACATGAGCGCAACCCACAAGTAACTGAAGGGCACGCCCAAGAACCACAAGAGGAAAAAAAGTAGCAACACATTGCCGCCGCCGATCCGGTACGGGGAAAGACGTCCGTTCGCTTGCGGTCCAGCGTTGTGACCGCCATTGTTCGGGCCACCTGGTACACTACGCAACACACCAACACCATTAGTCGACAGGAACCAGCACGATCCAGCAGTGTTGCCACAGCTACATGCACTCGACGAGACAATGCAGGCGTCCACACTCACCGCTGCTGCTGACCGCCTCTGTGCACCCGCATGCCCGGCATGCCCATTCCCATACCCATACCAGGTGCGCCACCAAACGACGCAAACGAGAACCCTCCTGGCCCGAACTGCGACACGTGCACGCGAGACCCGCCAAAGTTGTGCATGCCTCCTCCGCCTCGCATGCTTTCCTGCGAGAACATGGAAAATGGGTCCTGGCCCCCGAAAAACGAGCGAAAGATCTCTTCGGCGTCCTGGCCCTGGAACGGGTGTCGGTTCGAGCCACTGCTTGCCATGCCTCCTCCGACTCCCGCCTTGCCGAAACGATCGTATTGTCGCCGTTTGTCGACATCCGAGAGTACAGAATACGCCTAGAGCGCAACAAAACAAACACCACGTCCAGTGCGTTAGCGCTCGTCACTTGATCGCTATCGCATACACAGCTCATCACATTGTCAACCACCTCTCCAATCTCTTTAAACTTGACTTCGGCTTCCTCTTTGTTGTCTAAATTTTTGTCTGCACATGTAAAAATATGAAAAAAAAATCAACAGTTTCGTTAGTAGTGCAACAACACGTGACGCCAAAGAAGCAGAACAAGCAGAAGAAGAGGAGCACAAGATCAGCGACGCACCTGGATGGAAGCGGACCGCCAGCTTGCGATACGCGCGCTTGATCTCGTCCTCCGTGGCCGTCTTCTGAATGCCCAGGGTCTGATAGTAATCGACTTCGGCCATGGTCACGAAACAACAGTCGGCGGCCTGCGCGGCAGGCGTCGGGTCACCTTCGAGCGACACACTTTTGCGAGCAATGTGCCCCAATGTGTCCGTGCTGTCGCATAAAATGGACCAAAATAGCGTGTGTGGATGTTTGTTTAGAAGGGGTGAACAAATGCTCGTTTTTCTTCTCGGTATCCTTCCTGATTGGTGGATATTGTGTGTGTCTTGCACAAAGGCTGTCCAGTCGAAAGCGCGCTGGATGTGGCTGTGGTATTTGATTGGACATAAAGGAGCGGTCCGTTCAAAGCGCTACAGTTACAAATGGTGACGGGCTCACTCGTCTATTTGTGTAAACTTCAACCGCAACCTCATTCAAGCTGGGGGGAGTGCGTGACGCTGCGGTCCCGTCCGACGATGACGATGTCGTCGTCAGACCCTTGCGTCCCCATCACCAATGATCCCGGTGGGCTGTCCCAATCAAGATCAAGCGATACTTTGTGCGGCCGGTTGGCTCGCTCGGTAAAGGAGACCTGCGCTTCGACCGAGTGAGCGCTCGACCTACAAACGATGGAACTCGCTCGCTAAGTCACTATAACAACGTCAAGTATCCCTGCGACAAGCTACGGGGACCACAGTCATATCGGCTCGGGCCTCACTATCGCTATGCATTGACTCGTAGTCTGTAGATTGCAATGACGAGAAAGCGATGGCGCAAAGGCGTCGACTTGTACGATCGGCATGTCGATCAGGTTGACAAGCGACAGTTTTTTGCTTGGCGGACTCAACGCCACATTGCTGCACAGTGCGTTGGGGATCCGAAACATACGTTGCGGCCAAGTCTACGTACGACTTGACATCGCAGCGCAGACTCGAGCACATGCTGCAGGAGCATCTGCCGCATCTCGTTCTGTAAAGCTTCCGTCTGAATAGCACAGGGTTACACTCAAGCGCACTGACGCTTGCAGTTTCACCGCTCCATCTGCCTTGCAACAGACGGAGCAAAGTCCATCTGGCGCTCTTTCTCGTCCGGCTCTCATGTGGAAGCCCTGTGTAACGTCAGACGAGGAGCAAGATCTCAAACCTTTTGGATCTCGTGGAGGCGGTGCAGAACTCTGCCACGTGGCAAGGGTTCGAAACGAGTGGCCAAGAGCTTCTTCAATGACGAACAAGACAATGCGATGCGAAAGCTACGTGACAACGTTGAATGTGACAAGCTCGTCCAGCACACTGAGTGTCCCGATACGAAAGCGGATTTGCACAAAGCCGAGGTGTCATTTATTCCAACAGGACAGCCACGAACGTTCAACGTATAGAGTATATGTACTGACACAGAACGTGTATGCCGTCGCACAGTCATTTGAGAGCAATCCTTACGCAAGCGCAAGAATTAACGACAAGCGGCGCTACGCGTATTCGATCTTCTCACCGTACTCAGTGTAGTAGTTGGGCACCGATACCGACGACTTGCTGGCGTCTTCTGTGTCGAGCCAGACGCGGCATTTCTCGTACGGCGGTGCATACAGATGCATTGAAATCGCACCAATCTCAGCATGTGGGTTGCCCACTTTGTGCAGTCCAAACGAGTCGTCCATGTAGGTGACACCCGATGTAAAGTGCTCGTTGAACGTCTCAACGAGTCTGCCGTCCTGCTTCACGTAGCGCACTTCGTTCACGCACCCTTGAATGACCTTGACCCAGCAGCCGTCCGACGGGTGGTCATGCACGGGACTGTACTTGCCGGGGTTCCAGCACAGCAGCATGAGGGCGTACGACTCGTTATCCGTTGAGATGAGGTTGCGCGTGTAGTTGCGCGACGGATCAAAGTGAGCAAAGTGCTGCAGCTCGTTCATGTTGACTGGAAAGTCCCTGTTACGTCACACGTGTGCACAATCATTGTCGTTAGAGAAAAGAGCTTGTAATGCACGATACAAGCACCAGACAGTCCGTCCGTCCGTCCGTCCGTCAGTTCAATCGCCTACTCGAGCAGTTGTCGAATCGTGGTCTTGTCCTTGATGGCGAGTTCCGGGTCCCGCTCGAGCTCACGTTCCAGCGTCTCTACCAGCTCCGTCAGGTCCATAGGAGCTGCAGCTTTCGTCGCAGCGCTTCGGTCTCTACAGGGGGCAGGCGGTACTATCGATAGCGTCTGCCGGACGGTCATAGTCACTCGGCGCGCTTTCTATGCTCTCTCTGGTCGAAGAACAATGCGGACGGCTCACTCGGTCGCTCTCCAGTGGTTTAATTGAGAAGTAAGTGGTCGACTCGAGCGTTCCGGTGGTGCGGTGCGGTTCGCCTAAGTACGACGAAACGGCTTTTCACGAACACCCGCTTTCTATTGCAAGTCGGACGCATGCTATTCATCGTGAGAGAAGAATGTGTTTGTCCAGCCAAGTACGACACACGGGCTGGACAGAGCTGGCGACGAATGATGGCACCGGACCGTTCCGGTGGTGCAGCGACCGTACGATTTCTCTGGCCGACCAAAGCCAAAACCACAGAAAACGGGTTTTGCGTCGCTTGAAGAGCATATTTGGCGACCGCTCGTGCAACTATCAGGCGCACGTGTCTGTGCGTTTGTGGTCAAGCAACAACCCTTTGCCCATCTGCGACAGCCCGAGGTACTGACTCGATTGTCGGACAGGTCCGAATGGTGGACCTGTAGTCACCTCCTCCTTCGTGCACGTCGCCTCGTAGTGTAATGGTGTCCAGTACGTGGCTCACGTCCTCGAACATGGTCGAGTTCCTCAGCTTCGACACATCAGCGATCGATGCAGAAGGTGCAGACACGTCACTGAGCTGCATTCTGCGGCGTGCACAGCGCCCTCCGCTGGACACAACTTTGCTAAGAACGCCTTTGCACTGTCGATCAGTTTGAGGCGGCGGGACGAGTAACGCGTTCTTTTCGGGAGCTACAGTTTATTCTGCGTAAGAAGAGCACCACCACGGGGCTGCGTGTGACCCGATCATGTCAATGAATGCGATTACCGCAAACAAACGTTGCGTTTGTCAAATACCTCACTAACGTCATGATGTCCTGCGAAGGACAGCAGGTCTGTACGACTCTTGCCGTCGAACATCTTCTCTCCTCTCTGCTTCTCGCTGGAACGATGCCTGCGTCGACGGAGTTTCATTCGTCATTGCAACTGGACCTCTGCACGTCCACTCTAGTGATGCACGTTGCGCAGGACTGATCACGGGACACACCACCTCGCTCTGCACCGCCGTACGTATCCCTTTGCATGCTCATCAAAGACGAGTCAGTATCGATTCGACTGAGCGGTTTATTGCACACCAACACTCTGTAGTTTAGTCCCAGCAAAGGCCATTGTGGATAACAATCGGCTTTGTCTGTTGTGATCCCCTCTTCCTTGCACGCGTTAGAACCATAGTTGGCGCTCCTCAAGACTGTTTGACTTTGTAGGCACGCGATCATTGGGCCAGCTTCACGAAGGCTTTTCATAAACCCGCACCCGTCGACTAGAATGTTCATCCTTCTTCCAGCGATGATGTAGCTTCACAAGATTCGGAACGTCGTCGTCACACATTTCTTCAGCGATCAATATGTCACATCCAAAGTTTGCAGCAGTACATAATCATCTGGAATGAATCCAGTCATGCAAAGGCACGACTGTGAGAAATGCGACGACTTGTAGTTGCATGACAGTATGCACATATGGGCACCGTCAAGCGGAGAACCAAAGCATTTTTGGTAGCTGTTAATGATGCACCAACCACACAAGGACGAACGTGATGCTAAGAGTAATGCCGACAAAAAGATGAGGCTTTACGATTCGTGATGCATGAGCGCACAAGTGATGAAGAGTTGCAAGAAAGCCATCAATGCTTTCGTCCAACATGCATCACATGTTTACAAACGGCTACAAAGAAGACGTTGCCACACGAAGAAGTATGGCGAACTACAGATCTGCATGCAGATGTTGTGTAGAAAGTACATCGTGTCTGCATTTGTTTCAGGGTTCATTACCGTAGCATCGCGATGACAATCGTGCTGTTGGAGATGCGCCTCGGCCAGCTAGCGACAAACGAAAGGTACGGTTTGGCATTCAGTAGTGCGCCTATCCGATGAGGAATGCGCGTTGTGGTGATTACTTATACGTGTCTATTCAATGAGTAATGCGTGTAAAGGCGATTTCCCACGTGCACCTATCCGATGTGTAATGCGCGTACTAGCGAGGTAATTGAGGTATAGTTGTAGCATCCAGTAGGCTCAAAGTACCGCGAAGAAGTTGCGAACTAAGGAGGGCAAAATACAGTGGTAGATTTGTGCAAAAGCCCAAAATCCAGTCCCATTCTGAGACGAGCCCCCGCAGAGCACGAGTAATGTTAAATACACTACAGTCTTCCCTCCGATAAGCTATGGGTACGGTGGACGACAATCGCCATGACCTGGCAGAGGTTACAACTTATTGATTTTTGTGTATCGTACATAAGGAGAATCAATCAATTGAGTGATCGAAAAGCGGACCTGGGCACCCAGCCAACCCCCCACTTCCCTAAAGTACAAGCTAATATCCATCCCTAAGGCTTTCACTGCTGGAACAGAACAAAAGTCTCAGGCTCCTGGCTGTTTACTACCTTCCTAACGGTATGAAACGCACCCATGGCTTCTTTTTTTGTCTGATCTAACAATTATTACACAGCGAAAGCCACATATATACATTTTTAAACCGTGTCTTGACTGTTGGTGTGATATCTGAGCAGTATAAAATGTCACAGATCCGTATTACCAATGGACAACGTCTGCAAACATGCAAACAAAAGGATGGGGACCCAGACTTATCTCAAAAGGCACTGGCGAAATGTGATACGGTGGAGTTCGGCCTTGTCAAAACGCTGTCACAGGCATCGATCGGCAAGATCTTTCGAAAGCGGTCTAATCTGAAGAATATAAATCCAAGCAGCCTAAATGCAAAGCGACAAGGACTGGTTCAACATCCAACACTGGAAGAAGCTGTGTATCTTTAATTACTGCAATGTCAACACCGCGGAGTGATTATCAACGGGGATATCATCTGTGCGAAGGCTCCTCGGCTTGCTCAATTGCTTGGTACTCCTGACGACGCCATCACTTTCTCACACGGATGGCTTTATGAATTCCAGCAACGTCACATGCTCCGCGCTGTTAACATTTACGGTGAAAGCGGCTCGGTGGACGTGGAGTATATGAATAAAGCTCTTCCTGATGTAAAGAAGGTCGTCGCAGAGTACGCGCTGTGTGATGTTTACAACATGGATGAAACCAATAACTCGTGTTTGTTATATTTCTAATTGAAACCGAGTCTGATAAAAATAATTTGGACTATGCTACAGCATGACACCTGACAGGAATATTGCACAGGAAGAAATTGAAGGACAAAAAAAGACAAGATGAGTATATTGCAGAATTTTTGTTGCTATATGCTAACACAGGGGTATGCACTGAAATCCTTTGCAGTCGCGAATTTCAATCGCGACCACTGAAAATGCTGGTGGCTCTGACAAGCTGCAGCCTTTCTTTATCGGGAAAGGCAAGAACCCCGCTGCTTTCACAAGAAATCAGGTCAAGCACATGGATTTTGCTATCACAACCACACAAAGGCTTGGATGACTGGCGTGTTCGTCCATATATGGTTTGCAAAATGAGACAAAACAGTGAAGATGCGTAGCCATTTGATAAAAAAATTAATATTCTAATGTTGTATTGTTTCGGATCAAAAGTAGAAATATCCTACAATCGGATGACAATTCTCCGTCGCGTATGACGAATGATTTTACGTTAACTTACGTCAAGGTCCAGCTTCTTCCACCACGTACGACCTTCATGATTCAGCCTATGGATTCTGTTTTCATCGCATTATTCAAGCGGTGGTATCGCCGTTGCCATCTGCAGAATGCGATCGATTGTGACGAGCGTAGGGAGGGTTTTAGCATTTTCGATTTCGACCAGCTTAGTGCCATGCGCTAGTCGGTGGCTGCCCATAACGTAAATTTTCAGCACTACCGTTGCCAACTGCTTTGGACACACGGGGCCTTTTCCTACTGAATCGGTCATTTCAAGTGCCATGGAGGTGGAAGGGAGTAAATATGACGCAATGGAGGTAGAGGAGAAAGAAAGTGAGCTGGAGAAAGAGCTGATCGCACAGATCGAGAAGATGCGTGAATGAAAACCCATAAAGATTTCGGAGCTTTTCGATCCCATCGGAGAAGATGAGACTACTCAGCCTGAGCTAACCGACAACGAGATTATAAAAGAGCGTTTGGAGGCATATGAGGAGGAGTAAACAGTGAAGATGCGGCACCTGTCGCTGATAAATTTACCAGAACCGAGAAGATTATCCTTCTTCGTGATGCCTGCTCCCTGCTCGACGTATCCTAAGAAAGTCACCAAGCTGCTCATAACGTCCTTCGCAATCTCCAACTTGATCTTTGCATCACTCCCACCACCCAAACCACCCTCGAAATGTGGTTCAAGTAGTTTTTCTCTTCTATCATGCATTTTTAGAGGTTATATTGCCCTATTTGATCATAACTTTAAACCTGTAACTTAGCGACCATAGAACGAGGTCCGTGGACGCGGAAATCGATAATCTACGAGAGGTTATAACTTATCGGGGGTAAGTATATGAGGGAAGACTGTATTTGTTTGTGTGGTTGGTTGGTACAGTTATGTCCATTTGCGAAGCATTAAAGTATTACGATGCCTCCCAAAACCGCGAAGATCTACATGAAACCGAAATACGAAACCAATGTATTGTCGAAGCAATACATTTTCAGACGGGAGCTGCTGCAACTATGTTTTCACAAGACTACTGTTTTTGATAAAAATCGGCAGTGTACGGTCAAGAGGTGTAGCAGTGGGAGCGAAACGTATGTGTCTTAAAAGACGGGTGGCTGTGGAACCTTCTAGTGACGAGGCGACAGCGGAAGGGTGCATCTTCTGAGCAATACACGTCATCGCTTAAAAAATCCACTCGAATGTGTGTATCGCGACTGCCAAGCCTTCATCACGGCAAATCAAACTTCTTCCTGCTTTCAATGATGCGGTTCGAGGTGACAAAGGCATTGAGCGCAAGGCAATTG